AGACCGATCTCCCTAATGAACACAGATGCAAAAATCCTCAATAAAATATTGGCAAATAGGATCCAGCAAATCATCAAGAAGATTATACACCATGACCAAGTGGGATTCATCCCAGGAATGCAAGGATGGTTCAACATACGCAAATCAATAAATGTAATCCACCATATCAATAAAGCCAAAAATAAGAATCACATGATCATTTCTATAGATGCAGAAAAAGCCTTCGATAAGGTCCAACATTTATTCATGATAAAAACTCTACAGAAAATTGGAATAGATGGTCTTTACCTCAATATAATAAAGGCCATTTATGAAAAACCAACAGCCAGCATCATTCTAAATGGCCAAAAATTGAAAGCCTTTACTTTAAAATCAGGCACAAGACAAGGATGTCCTTTATCACCACTCCTATTTAATATAGTACTGGAAGTACTAGCCAGAGCAATTAGGCAAGAAAGAGAAATAAAAGGGGTAAAGATAGGAAAAGAAGAAGTTAAGATGTCGTTGTTTGCAGACGACATGATACTCTACATAGAAGACCCCCTAAGCTCCATTGAAAGACTCTTAGATACAATAAATAAATTCAGTAATGTGGCTGGATACAAAATCAATACTCAGAAATCAATAGCATTCCTATACTCAAACAACAAAATCACAGAGAGGGAAATAAGAGAAACTGGATTATTCACATTAGCAAGCAAAAAAATGAAATATTTAGGAATTACTCTTACAAAAGAAGTGAAAGACTTATACAGTGAAAACTATAATACACTGAAAAAGGAAATTGAAGATGATCTCAGAAAATGGAAAGACATCCCTTGCTCATGGATAGGAAGAACAAACATTGTGAAGATGGCCATTCTCCCAAAACTCTTATACAGATTCAATGCAATCCCAATAGAAATACCATCAACATACCTTATAGATCTAGAGAAATCACTCCTAAATTTCATCTGGAACCAGAAGAGACCTAGAATCGCAAAGGCAATTCTAAGCAGCAAAGGCAAAGCAGGAGGCATCACAATCCCTGACTTGAAATTATACTACAAAGCAACAGTAGTAAAATCAACATGGTATTGGATTCAAAACAGAGCCGAAGATCAATGGAATAGATTAGAAGATACAACCACAACTACAAACACACTCAACCACCTTATCTTTGATAAAGGAGCCAAGCAGGTTCACTGGAAGAACGACAGTCTCTTTAATAAATGGTGCTGGAAAAACTGGCTCTCCATTTGCCGAAAACTAAAGCTAGACCCATGTCTATCACCATGTACTAAATTAAAATCTAAATGGGTCAAAGATCTGAATATTAAAACAGAAACACTAAATCTATTGGAAGACAAAGTGGGTAGAAACCTTGGAGACATAGGAGTAGGTAAAGAATTCATGAACAGGACTCAAACCGCACGGGAAACACTTCCCAGAATCAATAACTGGGACCACTTCTTATTAAAAAGTTTTTGCATGTCAAAAGAAATCTCCAGCATAGTGAAAAGAAAACCCACAAACTGGGAAAAGATTTTAGTGAACTCTCTCTCAGACAAGGGACTCTTGTCTAAAACATATAAAGAATTAAAAAAACTCAGACCTCCAAAATTCAAAGATCCAATCCAAAAATGGGCATCTGAGATGAGTATGCAATTCTCAGATGAAGAAATGCAAATGGCAAATAAATATATGAAAACATGCTCATCATCATTGGTCATCAGAGAAATGCAAATTAAAACCACACTGAGATTCCATCTCACTCCTGAAAGAATGGCCAGGATCAAGAAAACCAACAACAACAAATGCTGGAGAGGATGTGGGGAAAAAGGAACTCTCCTGCACTGTTGGTGGGAGTGTAGACTGGTACAGCCTTTGTGGAGGTCTGTCTGGAGGTTTCTCAAAAAGTTCGGATTGGAAATCCCATTTATTCCAGCTATTCCACTTCTAGGCATATTCCCAGAAGAACTGAAAGCATCATACCACAGTGATATATGTGCACCTATGTTTATAGCAGAACAATTTGTAATCGCCAGATCTTGGAAACAACCCAAGTGTCCATCAACTGAAGAATGGATAAAAAAGTTGTGGTATTTCTATACAATGGAATATTATTCAGCTATAAAGAAGGATCACATTGAGATATTTATCAATAAATGGGCGCAGCTTGAGACCATACTCATAAGTAAAATAAATCAATCTCGCATGTATGAATACCGAATAGTTTCCCTAATGTAAGTAATGATTCAAATATATGAAAATATGTGGCAATCATGATTCCCCATTATGTGGCCTTGAAGCCTTATAAAATTTTTCACTTATTAATTAGAAAGGCTTTATTCTGGGCTTCTTGATATGGAAATATTTGAAGCTATAGTATATGAAGTTTTATCCAAATATCTCAAGGAAAAAGACAGACACTATGGTAACTATTATTCTTTAAAAAAATTATTTACTTATTTCTTATGTTTATTTTAATTAAGGGAAAAATTTAAAAAATTAGGATATATAATAGTAACTCTTTTCGATTTCCTATTAACTAGTTTTGAAGTCCTGTAATGCTCCCACGATCTTGTTTTGACTAATTAGACTCTGTTCCATTCTGTGGGATAGTATCAAGTCTGAGAGTATAGGCAACTACTTTGAAGGCAATAAGATTCACTAAGATGCCCATTCTGGTTTGACTATTGTCTCCTTTGGAAGTCCTGTAATGTTTACAATGTCTAAGTTTTATTGGTCTTGTTCTCTACTGTTTTGTCCAACTTTATAATATCTAATGAGATAGACAAATCTTTTTAAGGAAACAAGAGACAACGTTGATAACTATTGTTAATAACCGTGTACTCTGTTCTACATCATGTGCTAAGTCTATCCTTGGTTTTGACTGACAGCTTTGTTCTGCCATATTTGACTTTATTCCCCCCCCCAAAAAAAGTAATAAGAACTAAGGAGTAATAAAATCTAAAATGTGTAAATTTTGTTGTAAAAAGAGAGGAAGGGAAAAAAAGAGCTCTAATGGATATAACAGCAAGTGTGTATAGGGATGTTGAATAGCTGACTATATTAATGTTTTTGGATCATTGAACACAGCTGTTTGTAGTCTCTCTGTTTGAATGTCTACTTTGTATTCTTTGATACTGTGATTTGAGCAACTATTTCCAAGATGATAATATGTAATCTATTAACAGGTGATTTCTTACTGTTATGTTTTTTTTTTTGTAGTTCTGTATTATATGTAACCTTACACTGCTTTGTTTTGTTTTGTGTTTTTCTCTTTTTCCTCTTAAATAAAAAAAAAAAAAAAAAGAATTCAGCAAGCAGACAAAGGGGAAAGGACTTACACTACATGGAAAAACCTAAGACCTTTCAGACCTGAGAGCTAAAAGACTTTCAAATACCCAGGTTGCTGTTATTTCTGTCAAGAAGCAGGAAGAATTCTAGGACTCTAATTGCTGATATGTGCTATTGACTAGTTTACCGGGACATTCTGATGGCCCCCACGTGACTTTGAAATTCACAACAAACAAAAGTCCCATGGACCCTTGGGAGGGGGCAGAAATGTGACAAGCCTGCTAGCTTCCGCAGCACATACACTAAAACAGAACTGTGACCAAACTATAATAGACAGACATTGCGTGTCCAGCTGGTGTCTGTGTGCAGTCACTGTCAGACTCCTTTCAGGTTCACTGTCAAATTCCTGTACCCTTCAATTGAACCTAATTAAACGGGTGGTGGGGCAGGGGTCGGCCTCCAAGGTGGCCTGAAAGAGACAGCCCTCTCCTCTCCCCACTCACGGTTTGGGTGGGCCCCAGACCAGGAAGATGCCCCTGGAGGCGCCTCATCGGCCAGCCCTGCCCGCCCCATCACCTCCAGAACCTGGGTCTAAAGGCTGTGGACGCCAGCCCTGCGCCGGCCTCCCCACACCCGGGGCCCCAGCTCCTTGCCCTGCCCTCCCTGCACCGCCCACCAACTGGCCTCCGGGATCTCGGGGGAGGGGGGGGGGCCCTGCTGTGCTGGGGGAGCCTCCTCCTCATCCTTCGCCTGGGAAACAAGGCCCCGAAGTTTCCCGGGGTAGACAGGTCTCGGCTGGGCGCCCTTTACCTCGAGAGATCCGAGGACCGAGAGGTGGACAGAAACCGGTGCCAAGGCACTCAGAGGAACATGCCACTGAGGAGGCTCAAAAATGAATACTTAGAGCCCCACCCAGAGCCCTTGGGATTTAACTTCCGAGGGCCCCGAAGGCCCTGGGACAGGCAGTCAAGTGCAAGTGCGCAGAGATCTCTGGGACTTGTAGTCCGTCCCTCTTCCAGCCCAATCTCTGGGTGGACTAATGGGCAGGATGGGCTCAGGTACCCTAGGTCAAGGAGGGCACTGCAGTGAGAAGTTTAAAAGTAGTGAGGAGAAGAGACTCATCACATGCAAGGAGAGCTCCCTATGTTTCCTTACTCATTTCCAGCTAATTTTTCATTGGACACTATGCAGTTCAAAAGATGAGATAATATGTTTAAGCCGTGATAGAAAATAGGAGTGTTCCACAAAGTTTTTCCTTATGGCTGAACTACCTGACATGAACGAAGAAGTCAAGACAATGCCAGGAAAAAGCAGCAGAGGGACTTCATTAACAGTGCACTCACCTTCCATGAGGCGCTGGAGGACCCATCAGGCTGCAATGAACTTGCACTAGACAGTAACTCAAAGCTGTAAGAAACAACACTAGACAGCTTGAGCACCCAGGCGCTTACAAATGTTGGTGTTACTGAATCTTAGGTTTGTAATTCCTGTTTATTCTCCTGTGTGATTTTCTCCTCCCATATTTGTTATTCTTTCATTAATTTAAAACACCAATGAATAACCCATTAATTACAACTCTACGTTATCCGGCACACAATATATAAACTTGTAATCTGGGACATAACAGTATAACGTTGGTGGGATTGAGATAGAAAAGAACAGACTTTGTACTACATGATATAATTTTTTATTACTGAAACGAGGTTTTTATGTTTAAGATACTGAGTTTAACCAACGAAATCAATGAGAAAGTAGAGAAGAATGCATAAAAGGAAAGAAAAAGGTAACCAAGCTCGACATGAAAATAGCCACTAACGGCAAGAAGACAGTAATGCAAACATATAGGAACAGCTAAAGGTAAGATGTGCAAGACACGAAGATAAATGGTAGAAGCCTTTCTTTTCAGTAGTTAATTTAAGTGTTTCTAATTTAAACCCTTTTGTTGAAAGTAGAACCAAAGACTGTAGATTGGCTCAAGAAAGAAGATCACCTACATGCTGATTACAAGCTAGAATTTTATTTTTATTACATTTTATTTTACACAGAATAGAACCCAACAAAACAAAAGAATAAACTCAATCAAAACAAAGCAGTGAAAGTCATACTGAACTTCCAAACAGGCTAATAGGAAATCAAAAATGCCTACTATAATATATCTTGCTATCTTCACAACAGTTGTCCAGATTATCAGACATAGCAAAATCAAACAAAACAAAAGAGAAGAAATCCAACCAAAACATAATATTGAACAAAACAAAACAACACATGGAACAAGAACAAGCAGAACAACACTGAACACTGCTATCTTCAAAGTAGCGCTTAGGGTAGCAGACAGGGACAAAACAAAACAGTAAAATGGAACACAACATTGGATTTCAAAAAAAAAAAAAAAACCAGGAGGACATCCCCCACAGCTCACATGATGTGCACTGCCATCCTCCAGGCAGATGCCCAGACCACCAGCCCAGGCCCGAAAAAAAAAAAACCAGGAGGACATCCCCCACAGCTCACATGATGTGCACTGCCATCCTCCAGGCAGATGCCCAGACCACCAGCCCAGGCCCGAAAAAAAAAAAACCAGGAGGACATCCCCCACAGCTCACATGATGTGCACTGCCATCCTCCAGGCAGATGCCCAGACCACCAGCCCAGGCCCGAAAAAAAAAAAACCAGGAGGACATCCCCCACAGCTCACATGATGTGCACTGCCATCCTCCAGGCAGATGCCCAGACCACCAGCCCAGGCCCGAAAAAAAAAAAACCAGGAGGACATCCCCCACAGCTCACATGATGTGCACTGCCATCCTCCAAGCAGATGCCCAGACCACCAGCCCAGGCCCGCAGAGTCAACCAAACAGCAGCAGCACCAAGCTATTCCCTCCCCTCAGCGGCTGTCATCTCACCCTGAGTGCTCTGAGTCAGTGGGGCAGGGTGGGGATGCTCTTCTGCTTTTCAGCCTGCGCACTGGTTGGCTCACAGGAAGGCCTGGTCTCTCTTCTGCCTGAGGCTCTTCCCCATCCCCATAGCTGGGCTTGCTTCATGGGAAGGCTTTATTTGACATTCCAATGTCAAATTAAAAAAAAAGAAGAAGTTGACAGTAAAAGCTTGGGAAACAACATTCTATCCAAACAGGAATCACAAATGATCAGACGTGAATGTATCAGTGTCATAGACGTGAGGTCAAAGAGACTTCAAGAGAAAAAGCTATCATACATTGAGAAAAAGTCTAGTGCAGAAAGAACATAGGATTTCTAACATGTAGTAACCCATTGTGTGTATTGCATTAAATAACTATAGATAGGATTATGATGCAAATTCAGGATTTGGACAACCCCATTCTCACTGAGGCCTCACACATAGATGCGGAACACACCGCCCAACAACTTCAGGGAACTCATCTTCCTCAAGTGCACATGAAACATTCTCTACAATACACCAAACAGCAGCCCCAAAACCATCTCAATATGTTCTTAAAAATGGGAACTCACATAAAACTATTTTCTGGCCATGATGGAAGAAGTATGAAATCAGCAGAAGGAAAATTGCCAGATGTGTGGCAATGAACCAGTGTTTCCTTAAACAACCAATGGGTCAAAGAATAGAAAATAATTTGAGGTCCATGGGAAGGAAAACACAGCATACAAAACTCATCAAATGCAGCCAAAGTAGAAATCAGAGGGAAAATGTAGAAATCAGAGGGGAAATGTACAACTGCCTATACTTGCACTGAAAATGAACAAAATTAAAACCAGAAAACTAACAGCATATGAAATCCAAAGATAGCACAAGGGAGAAAATACATAAGACATAAACTCAGTAGCTGGGTTTGCTAACCCAGACAGGGAAGATGAGACAGTGGGGTTGCAAGTTCAAGGAAAGTCTGGGCAACTCAGCATGGACTTGTTTCAAAAAAGGTTTGTGTGCAGTGGGGGACAGGGATATAGGTCAGTGCTCCCTGGATGCAACAACCAGTGACACAGAGAGTCAGAAAACAACACATAAAATTCATGAAACTAAAACTGATTCTTGAAAAGCACTAACAAGACTGATAAATGATAGAATTGGATTCCCGGTCAGGAAACCACATGATACAATTCTAGCACAGATAAAAAGACAAAAAGTATGAAATATAAATGACCTTTATTTTAAGAATGCAGGAAGAGACCCCCTGAACCCACGGGGTCTCGGGGGCTGGAATTCTCTCTGTCAGACACGTGGAGTGGGGGCATATATGTATCTTAGGTTTGGGGTGGTGCCTAAGGGGCATTAGTGATGCACAGGTAGCCCACGGGTACTTATTTTGGGCCACAGGTAAATTCCTAGGGGCAGGGAAGATGGAGCCCCTTGGTTCCGCCTCCAAGGCTTTACTGGCTACCATGTCCTTTCAATGAACCTATTGCTAAGTGGGATAAGAATGAAGGAAGACAACAAAGATCAGACTTGAAAGGGGATGCTATTACAGATTCTGTGAAAAGAAAAAGAAATCCAAGAGTGTTTTAAAGAATTCTGTAGTTAAAAATGGGCAAATTCCTAGAGACACAAAAATCCATGGAAACAAGAGTGTAGTGATCCATTACAGCTCTAGATGTCCCTGGGGGAAGAAAAATGAACAGAGACCAAAGCTGAGATCAGGCAAAGCTCGCTCTAGATGGCAGGAAAGGAAGTGCTCAGCCACTGCAGTGCTTTCATTTAAACATCTGGCAAATTGATGTCATGTGACACCACTTTGCCTAGCAACTGATGGCTTGGGTTATCTTGGAGCTTGGTGTTCTCTGGAGTGAAGCAGCTTCCCTCTGGAGTAATTTGTGCCTGAACCTGCCTCTGCTTGACCCCCACGCATGACTTATTTCCAGTTTCTGCCACTCCCTACATCTTCTCTATTTCTGATTTGTAGCTGGAAGCGATGGGTGGTCACTGAAGGGGAAGGAGCTGTGTTTAGAAAACTGGGGAACTTTCCATTCTCAAACACTTTTCATTTTGAGTGAACTTACTTAAGCTAAAGATTTGCAGTCCAAGGATTTTAGGTCCCTGCATTTATCCATTTAACCTGGTACATTTCATTAATCCTAGCATTAGTCAGTTACCAGTGTAGTTGGCAACTGTCAGAAAGTGTCAGTGATCTGAGTTTCTTTTTAGAGCTAACATTTACTAGGGCATTGTGTTATATATTTTGTAGTTACACTTTTATGCAGCATGTCTAAGACCAAGTTAAGGTGAGACCTGTATTAACCGCACTCAATCTCTTGCTATCTATCAAGGGCCACTAAGCCTCCTCAGGAATTGTCTTGTACTGTGCACAGCACCTCTTACTTCTTTTGTCACTGTCACCCTCTGGATGAGTCACGGCCCTCCTTTGACCAAGGTGTGTTCCAGGAAGGCTCAGGACATTTTTTTCTCCTGTGACTTTACGTAGGCACATTATGCACCTTTGATCACTCTTATCCGTGGTCCCACAATCTCCTTGATGAGATGATCAGGGACTCACCCAGTATAGGATGTCACAGCAGAGGCTCTCTTATGTCCTAGATCCTCACTGACCTCAGAGAGCCAGGGCCAAAATATTGCCAATTCTCTTGGCCCATCTCTATCTCTAGTTTGTGTTCTCCAAACCTCAGTTGTTGAACACCCATAAGAAAAGTTTGATAATAGTTCAGTGTAATACAGGCAATAAGATTAACATCACTATGTTACTTGAATATCAAGCACCTTAGAACATGAAATAGAAGGATTATTTCCTACAAGCCATGGCTATTTTAACATTTGAATCCCAATAGAATGTTATATATTTTATATATTTTACACAGAAAATTAGAAATCAAAACTATACATAGCAATGTAGCATCATGATGACATTTTGTAACACGCTGAATTTCCATCTTGACATAAAATTCCCCTTTTAGTCAACCATCCCTATCTAATACATAAGAAGCTTTACCTAACTTGCTGACCTTCAGTGGGATGTACGTCTCTTAAGTTTTTGTTAAAGGCAGAGGCCTGAGTCCAAAGTGAAAGTCTATCAGTATAAACAACCCCTGCATTACATTTTGGGAGACCTATACATCTGGTGGCATGAAGCCATTTGATACACTACAGTGTTGTTAACAATCAGCACAGCCACTTGAAAACCACTAATACCATCTGAACAGTGGTTACTAGGACAACGGGATGTCTTTTGACATTAAGATGGTAAAAGTATAAACAAATGCCCCTAAGTGAAGAGGCAGGTCCTCTCCTCCCTTCAGGAAAGTAAGGGCTCCATCTTTTCTTTATTTTCTCATCCTCTCATCTTCACCCCATGAACATCAGCAACTCTGCAGGTCACAGAATGTGAGCAAGCAAAAGTGACAGTTGCTAGCAATCTGTCTATTGCAGCATATCCCACAGTCAGGAGCCTTGGCAATTGGGAATGAGAATGTAAATGACCCATTAAACAGGAAACATGGGGTGACTGTGTGACACACTGGAGGCTGTGAGTCACATGAAAAAGATCTTCCTGCTTGGTATGAGTGGTGGCAGTTTAATGTGGCACATCACACTGCAAACCTAAGTAGCGTGTGAAAAGGGGCTAATTAGAGTGGATGAAAGATCCTGTGAGGCCCATATAACAGCTTGCAATTTTGTCCTTTGTGCAGAAGAAAATCTCACATCCTGTATTTGGGAGCCTGGGGCTCCTGGTCTTTGCTCCTGCCTCCACTTCAGGCTCCTGCCTCACACTCAGGGATGTGGGTGAGCTCCCCTGCTAGCAGTGGCTCGTCATCTGGAGGGGAGAACTGTTTTCCCTTGGAAACACATTTTGGCATCAACAGTTGGGTGGTGGTAAATGAAGAGGGTTAGTGCCTGCCTCGGTGCCAGCTCTGGGCTCCATCTGCACCGTCGCCCACCCAGGGCCTATGGCAGCTGCCACCTCTGAAAAAATGGTTTCCACCTTTTTTTTAAGGTCTGGAATTTATAGCAGATTTATAACAGCACAGAAAATCATGTAGCATTTACATGTATATGACTAATAAAACATGTGCAATGTCACAGTATTGAAAACAAATTAATATAAGAAAGCAAAACAGACCCACACAAATGTAGTTACATTGGTTGTGAATTTGAAGCAAGTACTCCTAAAGTAAACAGCAATCTTGAAAAACAATAGACTTTGAGAATTTACATTACCAGATATCAAGACTCACTACAAAGACATAGTGAGACAGTGATATCCTGGCGGCAGCTTATTAGCAGCTTGTGAAAGCCAAATGTTGAATTTTCAGAAGGTTTACAGGTTGCTTATTGTTCTACTGGCTATTTGAAATTGTCTACTATAAGAGTATTTTTTAAACAAAAATCAGCAAACCACAAATCGGGACCATCTTACCTCCCACACCCTAGGAGCCTGCCACGCAGAGCAGGACCATGTCCTATCAGGGAAGCTGTCGGAATCATGGTGCCCCTACTGTTAGCTGAGCTGTGGCAAGCTCATATGGGAAGCTTCCTGGAATTGGCTGGCCTTCCACATCACTTTAGAATCTACACCACGTGGCCCAATGACATCCTCCTCTGCACTCTGGACACATAGTATGAGGTTGTGCTGAAGGGACAGATACTGGCTGTGCTGCCCTTCAGCCGCAGCAGAACACTTTCAGGCAAAATGTCCCTCACAACTACACATGGAACAGGTAACCTTGTTTTCTCCAGACTGGGGCTGGATAACCTGAGTGAAAGCTGTTGCCAAGGCAGCCCCTTTTTCACGAGAGGGGCCACTGCAGCACTTATCTGCATTCTTAAGGGCAAGTGTTGAACAAATAATTTAAAGGATGACTCTAGTTTATGAAGGGTAGAAATCTCAGCCTGTGATGTAACAAAATTTCTTTTTTTTTTAGTAACAAAATTTCTTTTGAATGGAGAAGGCAAAAATTGTCAATTGTGACTCAGTTAAGGTTATCTGGGTGGCTGTTGTTTACTCATCTTTTTTCTACTCAGGAACTGATTTTAAAATAATACTCTGAGCCAAATCCTTAGTGGTTGTAAGACCCACTCTAATCAAAATCCACAAAAGGAAGGTATATACAGGAGTGGGGCAAACAACAAACAGACCCATTAACATTTGTGATTGTTGAAACTCTGTTTGCCCCAGGCTTAACAACTGGTAAAATCAATGCATCCCTTTCTTTTTAGTCTCTCACAAACTCCTTTTATTTTTTGGGCCCTAGTGAACCCAATTATTTGCCTTAAGTTTCACATCAGTATCAGTGCATACCTGTGATGACCACTGACACTGTCAGTCCACTTCTACCTTTGTAGAAGTGTGCAACAGGGAGAAGTGTCCCGCTCCCACTATTTCCTCTCACCCCATTCCACATGCAGGCGCCATATGTAGCAGCCAGCCACAGCTCTAGATGTTCCTGCGGGGGCGGGGGAGATGGAAAAATAAAGAAATGTGACAAAAGCTCAGGTCTGGTGGAACCTGAAAGGAATTCCCAACCACTGTAGCACACTTATTTAAACTTCAGCCTAGCAACTGACTGCTTGCATTTTTCTGGGGGTGGGTGTTCTCTAGACTGAAGCAGTTTGCCTCTGGTGCTCTTTGATCTTAGGCCCGCCTTGCTTCACAAAGGCACCAGTGTCCAGCTTTAACCAGGCCCCACACAGAAGCAGGAAGAAAGAAGACCTCTGAACAGACGTTACAGAACCAAGAAAATGGAATCAATAGTAAAATATAATGTACCAAAATATATACATAATGTACCAGCACAGAAATCCTCAGGACTTCACCACAAAACGGTCCAATGATGCAAGGCAAAACCACCACAAATACTTCTCAAGCTCTCCCAAAAATGAAGATGAGAAAACACTTCCTAACCAACTCAACAAGGCCAACATTTGTCTGGTTCCAAGGACACACAAGTATTGTGTCAGAAAAAGCAAAAACAAAAATCCAACAGACCGTGAGGAATACAGACACAAACAAAGTAACAGGAACCTCTTCAACAAAATAACAGGAAACTGAGTGTAAAGTTGTATCAAAAATTAGGGTAAGGCTGTGTGACAGAGGGTTGCCTAGCATTCCTCAGCTTTTGGAAGCATCTTTAGCACTGTAAATATACATACTCATGTGTGTGTTTGTGCGCATGCATACATGAATATGTATACACATACCTAAATACATCTGCATACACACGTGTCTCACTGTCTACACTCTCACTTGATTGAAAGTATTCCTGGAGTACCACGATGCTTCAACACATAAAGAGTGACCATTGCAGTACACTGCATTTATAGGATCACAGGAAAAAAACATGATCATCTCGATCGATGCAGAAAAAGCATTTAATATCATTCCGTACATATTCATGAAAATTAGCATGTACAACACCGGGTTCATTCCCCACAATTGAAGGAAAAAAACTACTCCTCAGTCAGTGGACATGGGTGCCCATGGCACACTGTAGATTATTAGTGATTTAACCCTGTGATTGTGTGACTGACAGGGAGCTATAGATTCCCTGTCACCATCCAGCATCCCACATTGCATGTCTTCATGTACTGCCAGATTAATAACGGATCAAAGTTCAAAACTGTCAGGACTGAGTGGTATCACTTATCTAACAAAAAGTCCAGAAGTCATGTCAAAGTACCATTGGAACCATGTGTACAAAGTCTTGTAATCAAAACCATGACACTACTGTGCAGTTGGACATACACAGTAACAAACAAAGCTTAGGAAAAACATCCTGGACAATGACATGCCACATGTCAACCTTTCAGTCAATGACAGGCCACAAAAAGGAAGTGCTTTAAAAGTATAATGGAGCTTAAAAACTCTTAAGGCCTGATGTGTAGATTGTTGTACTCTAAGAAAATAGCTTCGTTATATGTGTATTATAGCAAACCTGTAAAGTGGCTTACTAAATGTGTTTTTTTATCCTTTTTCCCTAACTGATATGTTAAGTGACCTAATTGATATGTTGAGCAATACTCTCCTCTGTAAAGAATTGCAAGAATCTCACCTAATTGATATGTTAACCATTGTTGCCCTCTACAAACTACAGAAGTTGTGCTAAAACAAGCTAACAAGGGTTGTTAATCACTGTTAGGCACCTCTATTCTCCGCTAAAGAGCTAAAGAAAACTAGAATGGCCCATTAATTTATACTTGTTTAAAGTAACCTGGTTGTGTGCAGAGAGATTTGCGTATGAGTTTAACCCTTTACCCTGACCTTGACACATAACCACCGTTTTCTGTTCTGTATGGCGCCTTATTGCCTCCCTCTCCGCTCACCTATCTATCTAGGCCATAAAGAATTTGGGTTTCTGGTGACCTTTTCCCGACCCGGTGATGATCTGTCATAAAATGAGCCTGGCCCAATTTTAAGAACTGTTTAGCTTCAACGAAATTACCGGAAAATACTATGGCCCAAACCTCAATCAGTGCTTTCCTTTTGTTCTGTATGCATCAAATGAGTTAGATATCAGATCTTTGTAAAACTTAAGTTTCAGCTTCTTGTAAGTCTTGACCCCTTTGGACCCACTAGCGAAAACGAGCTGTCCTGGGATAATTAACTGTCCACTTTCTTCCCCAAATATTGCTGCAGATGTGCCACTCCGAGATAATGTCAATCTGTAGGATGGGAGTAATTTGAGAAACACCAGGAACTCCCGAGATTGTCAGAGCTAAGTGGACAGCAATACAGTTTCCAGACTCGGGTCAACAAGTTTGATGGCTCTGCAGGTTTCTTTGTTTCCCCACCCCCACCCCCCACTTTTCCTCCAGCCCCTTTTTAAAGCCCTCCCTTCAGTCTCTTGGACACAGTCTCCAAATTGGCTCCCAGAGACTGGTCGCCAGGCCTGGAAATAAAGCCGTTGCCACCTAAATTTTCGGTCTCTTACCTCCTTGGATTTTATACCGGGGCCCAAGTTATAACATTGATCTCATATCAACACGTTGCAATTGCCTGAGCTATGAGGGCAATAAAATGCTGTACTGAGAGCCTGCGAGCAACAGGTCCTACCATCAAGACTCTAGGTGCAGTAGGCTACACCACCTAACTTTGTAAAAGTCCATCTTTTGTAAAAGAAAGAAACTATGTTCTCCAAAGCTACCTGACTAACAATCTGACTGAAAATGGTACAGTGATATACATCCAGGCTGCCAACACCGTTCCATGGGGACAGAACAGTCTTTCAAGAAATGGTGCTGGGAAATCCATGCATCCCTGGGTGCAGGAATAAAGTACAGCGCTCAGCTGGCAGCACAAACAGACTGTCCCTAAACAGATCAGAGGCCTGAATACATGACATACATATGAAACTTTAAACAAGAGAACAAATGCTTCACTACGTTAGATTTGGCAATGATACTTTGCATGGGATTCCAGTGGCAGAGGCAAGAAACAAAAACTAGATTAGACTTCCTGAAAAGTAAAACTATTGTGCATCAAAAGTCACCATTAACAGAAGGAAAAGGAATCCACAGAGTTGGGGAAATAATTGCTAGTCACAAATATGACAAAACATTACTATCAGAATATTACAGAATAAGAAAACCAAGTAAGTTGATTGAAAAATGAACAACGAATAAATTCACATTCTTCATGGAAAATATCCAGCATGGCCCATGAGCACATGAAGAGATACTCAATATCACTCACTATTAGAACAATGAAAATGAAAACCCACTGGGATCCTACCTCACACCCCTACTGATGGCTTTTATCAAAGAACCACAGAAAACAAGGGGAGGCAGGTGTGGAGGCTGTGGATGCCTGTGTACTCTGAGGTTTTTTTATTCGGCTGGTTGGTTTTGTTTTATTGCTTGTGGACTCTTAATGAGACCATTAAGTGATAAAGGCAGTGTGGGATACAGTAGAGTAACTTCTCACAAAACTATCGAGAACTGTCAGGACTTTGAAATTTGCCACGTCCAGGGTAGCTCTCAAATAGGTAATACATAAATCAGGCCCAGTACAAACAACAATACACCAAAACGAGTGTATATGAATGGAGTCTCCCAAATATCGCAGCTTAGTGTGCTGCACACACTTCGTGTGCGTGCTGTGTGCTGTTCCCCACCACCAGGACGAGATGAAGCAAGGTGAGGGGAAGCCCTGTGACATGGCCTTAGGCTGCTCCTGACTTTCCAACTTCAGTGCAGGACTGCTGCACAGCAGCAGCTGGTCAGAAACCCCAGCAAGTGACAGGTCCACAGGCAACACAGCAATAAAATGCTGCACAGGCATTCATGTTCTTAGCAAACTAGAAGGAGGAAAAGTTATGAGACCCATGGGGTTTCTCAGAGTAGCTCGCAAATTAAAATTCACAAATTGTGTATTTCTGAGATTTTCAGACTATGCTTTCCAACTCTCAATTGAACCAAGTTAGGATGTTTGACAGAGGGTAGGGGAGAACTACTAGAAATTCACACAATGGAAAGTTACTTTGTCCTAAAGGGAAAGACTTGCAGCCAGCTACAACATGAAGGAAACCCGAGTATGTTAGCTCAAGTGAAATAAACCCATCAGAAAACACAAATAGTGTATGATTATACTTGGGTGACTTCCCATAGTGGTCAAACTGACAGAAACAGAAAATTGCCAGAGGGTGATTGCCAGAGGGTGAGGTGGGGGGAATGTAAGCTATTGTCTAAGGGGATTAGGGTTTCAGTTTTACCTGAAGAGCACCCTAGATGGTCAATGAGCTTTTTGTGCATTCTACATTCCACACCACTGAGAAGTATGCTTACAAATGGGTTAAGATGATGCTGGAAGGTTAAATCACTAGCAGAGTATCTGTTGACTATGCACAAGGCTTTGAGTTTGACCCACAGCAAGAGAAAAAAGAACAAAGTGTGGTGGAGGAAGTTGCCACAACGAAACAAAATAAGATGGATACTCACAGGGCTTTGACCATTTTGATGGAAAGGCCCAGAGGCAGACGTGTGCCTTAGTCACCATGGCACAGTCATGCATTGAATCCTGCATGGGCCAGAGCAAATGCCTGACCTCTGTTGAGTGGCAGGGAAACCTTGCTAAGGCCTTAGATCATTCTTGCTGACAAGATGGATTTAAGGGTGCACACCATTTATGCCAGCAGCCTGGCCTAAGTGGGCCCCTGGACTGCCTGAATATAACCCACAGTGGATAGAAACTGAGTCACTGAGGTCTAACAAGTCAGTGCACTGTGCCAATGGAGTGGACCTCAAGAATATCCCTGGACACCAAGACTGAACTGCATATGCCCTGGTAAGCAGTGCCCATTGTGTCAGGCAGCCCTGTGGCTGGCAGAACCAACCATCTGGGCGACTCCTCAGACAGCACAGCTGAACCTGTGCCTGTCTTCCTGCAACACAACCCTGTGCTTTTCAGTGCTGCTGATTTGCATGTGTACTGTGTCACTGTAATAAACCATGACAATGAGTACTTAAGAACATTTTCATGTGTACTATATTGTCTAGTTACTCTCTGAACCTGAGGGTGAGCCTGGGGATCACCAATGCCATCCAGCAGCCTGCCAGGGCTTGTGTTTATTCCCAAGGGAAACCCCTTCACACTCAGAACCTACCTGACACCCATGGAGCTCAGACTGCTGCCTAGGGTTTGCCACTGACTCAGCAGCCCGTCTTGGGTCTCCATGGGTGACATGGGGTGAGCTGTCACCTGCTGAGCATCACTAGGCACATTTCTCATGTGGTGACTGCAGTGATCAGGTTGGGATAGATAAGGCAGGGAATCAGGGCTGCTTTTGAGTAAAGAAGTTTGGACACAGACACCAGGTGACAGTCAGAGGACTCTTTTATTGTACACTAAGTCCTTCATCTGGGGTAGATGTGGGGACATGCAGCATCTTTGAGCAGGTCAGAGTGCAGAGCTGGTAGGGGGATGGAGTCACTACGAAGGCAGGTACAACAAGGTCACTGGGCCGGGGCTGCCCTTCAGGCACAGAGAAGCTGAGGCACTGCAGCTGGGACGTGAAGAACATATGGGCCAGGGGTTCCCCGAGGCATATGCAGGGGCCTGTAAGAGGGGACAGGGCTCAGTTACACTGAGGCCTGAGCTCCTCCCCCTAACAGTATCCTGGAAGGGACAGGAAGCCGGGTCCACTACAGTGACTTGTGGAGAATGGCAGGAAGGCCTCACATTTCACAAAGCGGCCCTCAGCATCCAGAAAATGTCCAGGGTGGAAATGGAAGGGCTTCTCCTAGACAGTCTCATCCTTTAGTACAGATGAAAGGTTGATGTAGAGCATCATCCATTGGCTGGAGACACACAGCATGAATGTGGACTGACTTACAGGACACAGGAACCCTGACACTTAATATCTACAAGCACACTCTACGAAGCTCGCAGGCTAGTGGGGTACAGAGTCACAAGGAGCCTCTCAATTATCCATCAGTCCCAGAAGCTTCTCAGGCCCATCCATATTCACATGGCAAGGCCACAGGACAATGATCCTAAGGGCACCCAGAGTCCCACTTTTCCTCATGAGCACAGGATTCTCCAACAACTCATCACTTAGGTTAATTCATCCTCCAACTTCACTGAAGGATCAGTGGGCACAGGGCAGCACTGGGTGCAGCACCCCACACACAGGTTGGACCTGGCAGCACCAGTGGTATCAGGGCCAGATCACAGAACACTTCCTGGCCACACCTGGGAGTGCCCATGGTAAAGAAGGAGGGTCTCAGTCCTAACTTGCGGATGAGGAAGCCCTGAACCTCAGGGTCATGAGATGTCATGTGGGGAATACCCATTGGGACGATGTCTGAAAAGCGTGCACCTCATGAATTATGGCATTGGTACAGGGCAGCAGGTCTGGTCCACCATCACTGGGCACTAGCCTGCCATATCACTTCACTGATCTCCTGTGCACACAGATTGGACAGACGAGCATCCCCAAAGGGGTCAGTCCTTAGAGATGGGGCCCTGATGCTCTCTACTCCTTTCTTAGAGGCTGTGTCCCTGTGAGAGGAGCACCATTCTTTCAGTATTCCCAGTCAAGCCTGTTTCGAACCAAGAGTTTCTGAAATAACTTCGGGCACCCCGTCACTACTCCTCTTTCCACAAGCTCCCATTCATTCCAAGCCCAGCTCATGCTGCAGATCCAGATACAGGATCATGAGGAGCAGAGCCCAGGACATTATGACTGATGTGGTCACAATTCCTGCACCAAACAAGTCAGATATGACTAGACGAAGGTTCTCATCATTGAAGCTGCCCACAGAGTTCCCCTGGGCCTGAGACAGGCAGAGAGGGTGGCCTCAGCGGGAAGTGGGAGGAATGGCTCAAATGTCCCCATGCAGCACCCCTCAGCACATGTGCTGGGTCTTGGGGGGTGATGAGGCCCCACCTGGCCTCAAATGTCCAAAAACACTTGGCTGACAGACTCTGATCCCTTCTCACAGCCCACTCTCACCTTAAGCACCACTTTCAGGAAAGCATCAGTCAGATCTCGGGGAGGCTGGTCTGGGTCCCAGCCTGTGTTGTACTCAGCCAAGAGCTTATTATTCAAGACCATGAAGGACCTCTGTGCAGGCAGGACGTCGCAGCCACCCATGGGATGTGCAGGAGCTGTAGCATTGAGTTCAATACCTGTGACAGCAGAGAGGCACCCTGGGTGCTTCCTGTGCTCCAGACTCACAGGAGCCATGTCACACCCAGCCTCCTCTATGGTGACCCAATGCATGACACGCCACACCTTTGCCCCCTCCCTCCACTGTGCCAGCATCAAAGCTCTCTCCAGCTGCTGAGCTGCCACAGGAACCTCCTACCACGGAAATCTCAGGAGCCTGTGTCATTTCCAGCGTGGACACAGGCTCTAATCCTGACTGCAGCCCTGAACCTCAGCCACCTCTCCCATTACTGCTGTCTGCTCGGCCACAACCAGCCCTTTCTCCCTGCAGTGATCCTCCCTGATGCTTTCTTCCCATCCCTCCTGCAGGCACCTTATTCTGTCAGAGCCGTTCTGCAAGACAGTGTCCCTGCACTGACTCCCTTCAACCCAGCACCTGAAGCATCCAGCCATTGTCCTCCCTCACGCTCTCCTCCAGCATCTCTAACATCCTGATGCTGGTCAGGTCATCACATTCAAAGTGGCCTGCACAGATAAGGGAGGCGATCATGTTGCACACTGCTTTGTTCAGCAGGGAGTTGGGGCACAAGGGCTGCCTGGGAATAGAAATGCAGGTCATGCTGCTGCCCTTCTCCCAGTCACTTGTGCACATGATTCACTCCTTGGGTCCCTAAACCCACTGCCCACCAGTATGGTTAGCAAAAGCAGCACAGGGACAGGCGTCCTCCTCGGTCACCCACTGCTCCAGGGACTTCTTCCACAGGCCAAGTTGCACAGGGTGGACATACAGAAGTGCTGTTGATCACGCCTGGTGGGCCCATATGGTGCCCCGATAACCCCTGGAATAGAGAACCGAGTCAGGTCCAGAAAGTACTAACCTGTGCCCTTGCATCCTCTCCTCATTCCTGCCTGCTGATCAGACACAAACTTGGTTTCTACCACCGTGTAACAGCTCCTTTTCCAGGCTTCACATCCAGAAGAAAAGGATTTCCACTGTCCCTTCAGCATATTATCATACACGGTAAGCCCCGTCCACCTTTAGTCACTGCACCCAAGGCTCTGCCCTGATGCCATCTGTGCCCTATTGACCTTTAGTTTGGGCTTCTATCCCAAACCCATTACTTCCTTGCTGGGAATTCATGGCCGATCTGAGGTGTCCTCGCCATGGTCCACTAGAGCCTCGCGCACAGCCGCCAGCCTGCTGAGCACAACCACTGGAGTCCAGGCAAACTGCAGGCTGAACACATCCCAGAACTCGTATCGCAGCTGCAGGTGGAGGGACAGGCCGCCTGTGATGCCGGGGTGACTGCCACAATGCATGTCCCGGTCTCACTCCCAAGGTGTGGAGCCCAGTTCGAAAAGTACAAGAACCAGCTGTACTACTGCTTTTTTTCTTTTTCTACATCTTTATGGTAGTGAAGATGCTACTCACAGCATCCTCTATACTAGACAAGCACTATGCCCCCCACATCTAGTGTCTGCATGCTGCTGTCACGTCATAAATTCACAAAGGTCACTTTAGGTCTAGATCTGGTCACCCAGCTATGATCTGGGCAGAGTAGAGGGGTATCAGCCAGGTCCATCAGCCACCCATTTTTCAGATCAGAAAACTCAAATACACAGATGAGAGCAGTCACGGCCAGGAACACACAGCAGCCAAGAGCTCTGCTGTTGATCGCAGCACCTCTCTCAGTATCAACTGCCTGACTGAAATGCTGCTGAACACCCTCTCGCCCTGTTCCTCCAGCCACAAGCAGTTCCCTCTGATGTCAACACAAGGGATTTGGGTCCTCTGAAACTTCTATTCCAACCAATCGGGAACCAGTCTTGCTGCCACATCTTGCCCAGCCTGGACCAAACATTTTACCAAGTACTGGATAATAATTTGTAGAGTAGGAAAGACCAGTTAAGGAGGCATCTCGTCCTGTTTATCTCTCCTGGAGGAGACAGAGCTCTGCCACGGGCCCCTGGCTCGCTCTTCCCCAGCTCTCCAGCACTGGGTTGCAATGCAGCCTCCACAACTTCCTTTATATTTCAGGTCTACAAGTTCTCAAATGTCTTCTGTGTTCATAAGAACAGGTTTTGGGAGGAGACTGGATCACGGGGTGCTCTACTCTTAGGGGGATAGTCCATAGAGAAATCCACAGCGAAATATGCTGTCAGGAGGCACAGCCTGGTCAGAAGAGGGGGTAATTGGGATTGTGACCTAGCAGAGTATGTGTCCTTCCTTAGCTCCTCTCCTCTGTCTCTGCTTCCCCCTGCCTTGAAGCAGGCAGCTTTTCTCTGCAAACCCTTCCACCACGCCTTTCCTGCATGGCAGTCAGCAGGCTGTGCACCCAGTTCTTTAAAAGCTGTGAGCTAAAGAAACATGTCCTGCTTTAATTCATGGTTGTACAGTAACGTGTCCGGGGCAGGGGACAAACTAAAACAGCACCTGAAAGATTTCACAGCCAGAGTGTATGGACCAGGCATGTGTGGTGACAGACGTCTCCACTTGAAACTGGCACTTTTCCCTTTGGGGACATCTATCTCTAAGTTCCTTCATGGGAACACAAAGCCTCCTGCCACAACCACTGGGCTGGTTCTGTTTTTTCTGCCAGTCTAAGGACCACAGAGTTCTGCTTGCATCCTGCTTCCTCACAGGTGTGCCTTCCACATTCAGGACAGAGAGAACAACACAAAAAATTATGGCTTTCTTTTTAATTTAATGTATTTGGAGGCACGGTCTCACTGTACTGCTCTGGCTGGCCGTGAACTTACAGCAATTTTCCTCTCTTGAATACTGGGATTACAGGAACATGCCACCATATTGAGTTTTCAAAATACTTGCTCCCCTATGTGTATCCTCTAGAAGCAAAACATAATCCTACATTTGAAACACTATTCTTGACAATGGAGATGCATTTTTCAGGGCCCATTTCCTTTCTGTTTCAGACAAATTAATAGGATGAGGGGTCTGTGATTTTGAGCACGGAAGAACATTCTTGGACCAACGGACTCAAAGCTGAAATCTTTATTCATCAGAACTATGAGCCTGACAACAGTGTCATGCAGCGCTGTCCCTCTAATACTTAGAAATCACACACCAAACTAGCAGATTAGTATTGGTCAAATTTATAAAGACCTTACACACACAGCATGAGGGATGAGGGGTGACTGCAGCTCATACTAAAGCAATCTGCTCAAGCAACTGGCCTTTGGGGTCTCTCACTCTGGTCGCTCTTTACACAATTTTGTTCCCTGTAGGATCATTCACACATTTCATGCCTGTGCTCTTAAAGTGAGTCTATAACCATGTGCAGGTTTTGGAAATTCAACAGCACATGCAAAGCGGTTCCCATATCTCAGAGGCCCATCCTAGAGAAATCTACCAAAACTTTTTGCATCTCATATATCCAGCATATACAAGGCAGTCAGAAAGAATTCTGGGACTCTAGTTGATAGGGTACATGCTTGAGTATTTCAGGGAAATTTATCTAAATAATTAACTTTATGTTACATAAACACAGAACAGATGATCAGGTAGGTGACAAGAAACAGGATAATTCCTATTAATTGAATGTTTCAGCTGAGACCTATGAATGCTCACTGTAAAATAACTTGTATGTTCTGTGTAAACTTTCTAAATGTTTCCTAATAAAGTAAGGAGCAGAGGTGGCCAGTGACCTGAGAATACCTTTTCTGTGGAAAGGGACAGCAGAAAACGAACACTCCTGGCTCCGCTAAACTATGAGGTGGACTGGGCAGGAGATTTACAGTAGGGGTATAAGCGCCTGCCTGGCAAACGTGAGGTTGTGAGTTCAATCCCTGGTAACCAAAAAATAAAACAAAATCAAGTCTTGGGTGGACCGCAAGACAAAAGGTGCTGCACTAGCAGTCACATTTGCCAGCCACCGCCTGACCCCACTGGGCTCCAGACACCTGCAAAACTCCCATCAATGCTGCCCATTCCTCGTGACGCAGGCCTCCCTCCTGCCTCCTCCGGGACACAAACCCCCACTTCCGCGGAGCTGGAGAATTCTCTGCGGCGATTCCCAGACCCAGCTGGGACCCTCACCGCGTCCTGCATCTTCCCACTCCGAGCCTCTGGGAAGCCCGCCAGGCATCTGCCCTTCAAACAGCGCCCAGCTGCCACTGCAGCGCCTCAGGCTCAGGTCACAGGGCCACAGCGCGACAGCGACACCTGCTGGGCGGCCCTGGACCCCGCTGCTCCCCTCTCCCGGGTGCCGGGAGCCCGGCTCCATCCCGGGGCAGCGGGAGCCACCAGGTCCTCGCGGGGCTCGGCACTGCGGTGCTGGGAGCCGCCTCCGCCCTTCCGCAGGACACAGCAGCGGCCTCCCGCTCAGCCTTCCACACAGAGCGCGGCGGCCTCACCCCGGGAGCAGGACTGTGGCGGCCCTCAGGAGGCTGGAGCCTGGAGCACCGGCTCGCGGTCTCCCGGGTGACGGTCCCTGCTGTCCCGCGCGGGTCACCCCTACCTCGAGGAAAGAGGTGGCGGGGCGGAGAGCAGAGACTGAAGCTGCAGGGCTGCACCACAAGGATGCTGCGGAGAAGCCTCTAAGGGGGATTTTACCCCAGCCTGCTCCCACAGTCCTCTGGGACTTGTAGTCCGCTAGCGTGCGCAGAGCCTGCTGGGAATTGTATTCCCTCACAATATTCAATATTCCCTCACAGTATTCTGGGACTTAGAGTGGGAGGGGTTGGATCCTCAGGGCTATTTTGGGCCCCAAGAAATGCAGTAAGAATTTAGAAAGTAGTAAAAAAGTGACCCATCTCATGCGAAAGAAACATCAGAGTCACACTTGGTTGTTTATCACTGGTGATGGAGACCCAAAAGCATAAGATGACATATTTAAATACAGAAAGCACAGTAAACAGACTGCCAACGAAATTTTCTCTATGTAGCCAAAGTACCATTCACAAATCAAAGAGAAGTCGGGACACAGCTAGCGAAACAAAAGTTGAGGGAGTTCATTATCAGCCAACCTGCCTGACTTGGAATATGATGTAGAAGCAACTCTCCAGTCTGAAAAGAATTATACTAATCACTACCTGGTAATCAAGAAGAAATATCACTGGACAAAGTAACAACATAGGGTTAGGGATTTAGCTCAGTGGCATAAGTGCTTGCCTCACAAGTACAAGGTTCTGAGCTTGATCCTCCGGACCAAAAAAGAAAAAAACAAAAACAACAGAAGCTGTAGGGAACTGCGCGACAGCACCATTGCTGCCTCCCTGCCCCTCTCTCTCTCTGCTATGGGCACAATGCGTCTGCCTACATTAACCATAATCCTCTCCTGCTTACATCACATACCCAGCCGTGATGATGACCCTCTTGTATTCATCTCCGTAGCCTCTTGCGGTCCCACCAGCCCTCCCTTGGCCTATAAAAGATGTGATCACTTCCGGAATAAACGGGGCTTGATTGGACTCTCTCAACTTGCCTCGGTCTCTCTCTGTCTCCTCCATGTTTTTATTTTAATCCCCGTTCCCCCTCCACGTACACCCCATGGTTTGATCCACGGACGGATCAAGTGGCACCCAGCGTGGGGGCTCCTGGCGCGGGGGATTCAATGAGGGAGCCCTTCGAAAAAGCCGGCTGAAAGTGAAAGCAAATTGAACCAAAGACTGCGGCGAAAGGAAAAACAAACTAAATCAAAGACTAAGGCTAAAAGCCAAAGGACATTAAATCAAGGACCGAGGCCTGCATGGACGACTACCTGATGTGCTGCCCGAGTCATGGTGAGTGAACATCAACCCCATTCCCTTTCCTGGACATGGTTCAAGCATTGAACGAACACGAAGTGTTCATGGGAGGCCTTGTAAAGGCTTTCAAGACAAGAGGGGTAAGAGTTAGAACAAAAGAATTATTGCAGTATTTTCAGTTTATTTATATGGTTTGCCCTTGGTTCCCCCTAGAGGGATCTATAGATACCAAGAGGTGGAAAAGAGTAAGAGATGCTTTAAAAGATTATTATAGGGTTTTCAGTCCGGAAAAGGTTCCGTTGACCACCTTTGCATATTGGAATTTAATGTCTGAGCTGCTTGCCCAGCAGCATGCAGATCCTCAGATTGAGGAGACGGTTGCACAAGGCCCTCTGAGCTACACAGCCTTATAGTGCTCCTAAGATGGCACCTGCCTCCGGCAAGCCTCGTGGCACTCTAAAATGGTGCTTGCCTCACTTCCGCCACATCAGCATGGGTCCCTCCCCGAAATGGTGTTTCCGGGGACGGAAACAAACGTACCTACCCAAAATGGCGCCACACAGCTGCAAGACGGCGGGGGCGCTGCACTGCTAGCTCCACAAGTCATTAGGACTCATATGCCATTCACAGTGGCAGCGTTAAAAGAATTAAAGACAGCGATTGCCCAATATGCCCCCACAGCTGCTTTCACCCTTGCTGTTTTAAATTCTCTGGCTGATGGCTGGCTCACACCTATAGATTGGCAAAAATTGGGCCCGACTGACTTTATCGGGTGGGGATAATCTTTTGTAAAAATCAGAATATACAAAAATTGCAAAGAGATCGCCAGGCACAATACACAAGCCAGCAATGGGTGAGACCTTAATATGTTAATAGTGGAGGACGCCTATGTCAACAAAGAGGCCCAAAAGCAATTTAAGGGCAATATGTGTTCCTCAGGAGCATTAAGCAGGGGCTAGAGATTTAGCTCAATGACATAAGCGAAGCACAAAGTTGTGAGTTCAGTCCCCAGGGCTGGAGATTTAACTCAGTGGCACAGTTGCCTGCCCAACAAATAAAAGGCTGTGAGTTCAATCCCTGGTACCACTGACATTAAAACTGCTTGCAAGCAAGGCCTTGCTGCGGCTGCTGCTTTGCAGGGGTTTGCAGTTGGATAGTTCTTGTCTCAAAAGCCTGAACAGGACTGTTTTGCCTGTGGAAAGACTGGTCACTTTACAAAAAGACTCCAGAGATAGAGATTCCAATGTCAATTACTTTGACTCATTTAACTGATCGGAGTGATATTGGTCTAGTGTCTTAAATTTAATTTCAGGATATATAAGGATGAGGACAGCTGCTGAGAGGAGAATGAGAGACACTATGGTAGTTATTATTGTCTTCCCCAGTGTCAGATCTTGAAAACCTAAGGAGCCTTCATTATCCTGTAATGATTTGATTAGTTTTGTAATATGCAGCGTGTATTTAATGTGCGTAAAGATGGGAACAACTGTTTGGAGGAAACTAGAGACAATTAGATGAACAATAAAGATCTCCAGTGGACTTGCTTTGAAATCTGTATTTCTTTAAATCTTTTTTTTTAAACGGTTTTGATATGTTTGGTCTTGCCCTCTTTGAGATGGAAGGCAAGTGTGTGGGACTGATAAACATGTTACTAAGTTTTTGTTGAATCATTAAACAAAACTGTTGACAGTGTCACTGTTTGGATGTCACTTTACATACTTTAATTTGGTAACCTGGACAGCTGTTTCTGGGATGACAGTGAGTAACTTATTAACTGTTGATTTCTTACCATTTATTTTTCTGTAATTCTGTATTAAGATCACTAGAAAACAAGCCAGACAGATAGTAAAAAATTGCCTTTCTTGTGTGATGCACCTCCCAGTTCCACACTTTGAGGTTAATCCTAGAGGACTTATCCTCAATGCATTATGGCAAATGGATGTCACCCACATTCCTGAGTTTGGCAATCTTAAAAATGTTCATGTAACTATAGATATCTTTAGTGGTTTCATTTGTACCTCTCCCCAGACTAGCAAAGCTACCAAACGTTATTAGCCATATGTTAACTACCTTATCAGTTCTGAGATGCCCACAACAATTAAAGACTGATAATGGTCCAGGCTATGCTAGTTCTGCCTTTGCTCATTTCTGTCAACATCTTAATATTGATCATATAAAAGACATACCTTATAACCCTCAAGGTCAAGGCATAGTTAAAAGGGCACATCTCTCTCTAAAACTCACTGTTGATAAAATAAAAAACGGGGGAATGGTACTCCACAAGGAGAACACCTAAAAATATTCTATCTCACGCCTTATTCATCCTTAATTTTTTAAATTTGGATGCTGCTGGACAGTCAGCAGCCACTTATTTTTGGCATTCTGAAACACAAAAGCAATTTGCTTCTGTACTATGACAAGACCCCCTGACTAATTCATGGCATGGCCCTGATCCCATTCTCATATGGGGACGAGGCTCAGTATGTGTTTACTCTCAACAAGACAGACAGAGAGGCTAGATGGCTACCTGAGCGCCGTGTAAAACAAGTACACAGTTCTTCAAAGACCCCATGCAACGCCCAGGAATAATGTCATTTCCTGAGGCACAATCCCGTGTTCTCTTACAGGTGACACAACTCCCCAGAGCCCTATGCTGCTACTCAGCCTTCTCCTTGAGCCGTACCACACCCATGGTGGATTTAGGTCCCTGCCAAACAGACTACAACTGCTGACAGCCATGCACACAACCCGCTGTGACTGCGGAGGAGGCTCTTCTCGGTCTGGAGAAACATAAACCAGCTAAATAGACTGCATCTGGTGTTATGCGAGGCAAGCTCCAAAAAATAAAAGAACGACTTCAACAGCGACAACAACAAATGGCTGCCAACCCCTTCTCCTCGATGTGTGTGCGTGGAGGGAGCTTTTCCCTTACCTAGCGCCCCTTTTGGGTCCCCTAGCTGCCCTACTGCTTCTCCTTTCTGTGAGTCCTTGTATTTTGCAGAGGATTATGACGCTCATAACCAGATAGACGCATTTATGACAAAGCTCATTCAGGTACACTATCACCAGAAGGAGATGGCAGATCAGCAAACCTACTGGGAAGGAATTCCCATGAATGGCCCATATGACCATGCAGCCTAACTGCCCTGGGGCAGTGGACAGGCAGTCAGAGACGGGCAACTAGGACATGCATGTTAACTCCACTGCCACCTAAGACAGGCACAGGACCAACTGCTGTCCTGCAAGCCCATGACGGGTAAGGCCTGCTTGGGTTCATGCCATGAGGTCCTTGACATAAGACAGACGCTGTCCTCACAGGGCCTGCCTTACTCCTGATTAAACAATATAGAAAGGGAGGAGATGTAGGGAGCCACGCGACAGCCCCATTGCTGCCTCCCTGCCCCTCTCTCTCTCTCCTATGGGCTCAATGCGTCTGCCTACATTAACCATAATCCTCTCCTGTTTACGTCACACACCCAGACGTGACGATGACCCTGTTGTATTCATCCCCGTAGCCTCTTCCTGTCCCACCAGCCTGCCCTTGGTCTATAAAAGATGTGATCACTTCCGGAATAAACGGAGCTTGATTTGACTCTTTCAACATGCCTCAGTCTCTCTCTGTATCCCCCACGTTTTTATTTTAATCCCCGTTCGCCCTCCAGGTACACCCCCACGGACTGATCCACGTGCCCGATCAAGAGGCAAACATGAAAGTCAGTACTGTTGAACTTTGGGTTTGTTTTTCCTCATTTCTTCCCTTGTATAACTGAAAACAAATACATAACGCAGTTAGCCATCTACATTAGTAAGTGTGTAATGAGCACAGGTCTCACATGGGTCAATAGCAATATGATGATGCAGAGATGGAAATAGTTCGGAACCGTGCAGTTCGGAAACTAAAACATAACTTACTGAAGCAGA